TCGGGCTAAAATTAAACAATCCGAACAAAGCACGGGAATRTCGGTGATGTTGGTGAGGCGAGTACAAGACGATCATGGTGACATAGTTCGAATGATACCCCCAACTCCCCTAAAAAAATCGTAAACAAAACAAAGCAAAGCAACAACAAAAACAAACAAATCCGCCCCCGTATTGAATTTTGAAAAAAAAAATGGAAAGAGAAYGGAAAAGTATGATTACTTTCCGTGATAAATACTTACTTCACATATCGTTAATATGCTAAATAATTTGTATCCAAATCGAAATGTAATTTTCTTAGTAGAAAGTAATGTATCCTCAATACAATGCAATTCACTATCAATGACCACCAGTACATATAGTGGAAACATTTTAATGGATTTTTCACACGACCAGAAATTAGATACACCTGATGACAACAGAACTGCCATATCAATTGTCGTTGCACACGTACGGTATTCCATATGGATACAATATATAATTTACAAATCTTGGGAAATAGTGGCGAAAGAATACATTAAAATAGCGATGTAACACAAACGCTGGATGYTACTACAAATTTTTTTGAAAACTTTGTAAAGCTCAGTGGCGGATCCAGGATTTTTCAAAGGGGGGTTCAACTTTGTTTTCGCATTTCCTAAAACGAACTTTTTTTACTGTGCCTCTCGAACTGTAGCAAATGTAAAGACACCCATATTTAATTTATCTTTTTTTATGCTGGAGGGGGGTTCCTAGGAACCCATGGAACCCCCCTGGATCCGCCACTGAAGCTAATGTAAACGTTTACTACAAAAATCTACATGTATTACTGTATAAATAATATAGTCATAAGACGTTCTAATAAAATAAGAAGTGCAAATACCATCCCAGCTTAATATGTACATGCATGTAAAACATCCCTTCAATTCTAGGTGCTCTTTAAACAAGCATTTAACTGATGTAGCAGTGAAATACCTAAAACAAATATYATTATGCTAAAATTGTTACATTAGATTAAAATAATGTAGTCAGTCCAAGGCAATTCACTGGGCAACATTATAGGGTGGAGGCTTCTCAGTCTCAGGAACATTACCTTGTGCCTGAAAGAAAACAAAAATTACAGCAAGTGTGATATCAACATGCACTAGATATGAACTGTTTTTAATATTATAAAACTTATTAATAATGCATAAGCTATTGCTCCAATAAGGGCTGACCATTTAATCAGGTGATTGACCTTGTAAATCTGATACAACCACTAGTGGTTGTATCAGATTTACAACACGGTCGTCACCATTGAGACAACCCAACACTAGCAAAGGTCTCAGTTTTAGTGTCGCATCATAGACCTTCACTAGGTTTTGAAGCAATCAAAGACGGATAACAGAACTCGCTTATGCAACAGATGGCTTGCTTTCCATGTGGGATGGATAATTATTCAAAATGTTCTGTGTTGCAGTAAATTGCGCATGCTTAATAGGGACTTAACTCAGCAGTTACCTTATTTGTCATTTTTCGTCATTTATCTCACTGTAATTCATGTTAATTTGTGTTGGAGTTTTATAAGTCGTTTACAACATTCGCGTCCGTGTTGTATGGGAATTACAATCTCTCGCCTGCGGCTCGAGATTGTAATTCCCATACAACACGGCCGCTCATGTTGTAAACTATACATAATAATATTAACAATAATAATAATAATACTAATAATATAATACTAAAGAGCGTTAATTAATAAAACACTTCGCAGGCTCACTGAAGAATTATTTACAAGATACAAAATAATGTCTATTTAAAACTATAACATAACTACATATGACATACATCATTAATAAAAACTATGGTATATGTAAATAGCGTTAATATGGTATTCTTTACAAAAATGAATCCCACTATGTCATAAAATCCTGGATCCTCAAGTYTCTTACATGTATGGCTTAGTAGCCTAAAATGGGAAATCCTTACAGTACTCCTATACAACCTCAGCTGTCACTGGCTGACTTGACTGAAATGAATGCATGCTATTKTCAGGGTTCGTGCAACATTTTCAATACAAAATTCCAKGACTTTTCAAGTACTTTATTTTCAAGGAGTATTTTTGAAGATATTTTTAGATGTTTGGGGACGTTTCAAGTGGCGATTTTTAAAATAGCCACATTTCAATCCAAAMGCTAAAAATCAACATGTAAATTTTATCAGATTCAAGGAGTTTTCCAGGAGTTTCAGCGATTTTCCCAATTTTSAATTCCAGGACGAGTTTTCAATTCCAGGACTTTTCAAGGACTTTAAGGAGTAGCACGAACCCTGTAATAAATATAATCTACATGTACAATTTTCCTCACACCCTTTCCAATGTTTCTCTACCTGGAAAGCCTGATAAGGTCCTGGAGGTGGCACTTGAGCAGCTACTTGACCTGGTGGCTGGTTATACACTTGGCCTTGTGGGATATTGTATTGTGCTTGTGGATAAGCATGCTGTAAGGAGATCAACACATTGTTGACGTAAAAAAAAATACAAAGTTCAAGGATGCTACATGTTAGTTCATACAAAACAAAAACTAAAATGATGAATCTTCACTTAATTTTTTGAAGTACAACCAACAAGAAAATCAGCAATAATAGAATTCTCAAGAGTCTTTTATGACCCGAGTTATTTCATTTTGAGATGACATAAGWAATACAACAAGAACAAATAAACTAAACTAAAACGATTCTTTATTTTACCGCYGGGATAGCTTGTCCAGGATATGTAGTGACAGTTTGGATGGTTGAGCCRGCATAATAGCCACCTGCTGGGATCACCATAACATTACCATGCTGTGGCCCAACATATGCAATCTGGGTGGCAGGAGGCTGAAACACAGACACAGTATTTGTGTTGTATTAATACTTTTTAAAGTCATAACAATAAATGTGTTTTTGTGCAACAAAATAATGAAATGATCAAAGGCAATTTACTTCCGGTGCTGTCAGCAAGAGGGTTGGTGATTGGGGTATTAGAGCATACCCTCTCTAGGGTAACACTTATTCCCGCCTCTCGGCAAAAATGTCAAGATTTTCAACCCTCCTCCTCCCCAAATCCAACCACTTGCTGACAGTGCCTGCCTCACTCTCTCACAGTGCTTTCTATAATCTTTAACATATAACTTTGATATGTATTGTTTTTAGCAAACATTATTAAAAGCAGTTACATGTATGTCCACTAAGTAGCCATTATTTTGCCAACCAGGTGTTGTGTTTTTCCTGCTCGAACAAGCTCAGTACGTGTGACATCAATCATGCTAGTGTTATAATTATGATTAACTAGGGCTTGAAGTCATAAATGGTAATGATATATTACATTTTGTATTAAGTTATTAAGCCATCAGTCTAAGCTGGGGTAAAAGGGTTAAAAATCTTATGTTGCAGTGCCCACTTTTACAAGAATAAAGAATCTTTAAAGTGAATGTATGAAAAACAAAAAGGGAGGATGCTAAGCAAGGATACTTGAAAACAATTTGATGTTCATGTTGAAGTTCAGGTTCAATATATTTTTGAACCAGTTTAATCTAATTTGTTCCAGTACAAGACTTCTTGTACTGGTCTTTTTTCTTTTTTCTTTGGCATTCTTAAAAGAACTAAAAGAACTATATCCCATCTCATTCTCTCCCATTTTCTATCTATCATCTTATTTTCTACCTTCTACTACTTCCAACTTTATCTTACCCTATACCCCACAGAAATATTGATATTTCCTATATTTTTAACTTATGAATAACACTTTACCTTCATCAGGGTTTGAACCACTGAACTCTTGCTTCATAGTCCACAGTACTACCTTAGTATTATACCATCAAGGATTTTGTTGGTAGTAATGTTTGCAAATTTTTTTAAACTTAATTGTAATTCATTAATGAAGAAAATTTTTATATAATGCTGGCTCAACCCTATTACCAACCCTAAACCTAACCCTCAACCTAACCCTAAACCTAACCTTAAACCTAACCCTAAACTGATTTGTACTGGATTGAGTTGGACTGGCTCAAAATAAACTGAACCAGCTATTCAGAAGAAATTGAACTGGTTCAAAATCATATTGAACCTGAACTACAACATTCACATCTTACATCAATAATAATGGTGGTATTATAGCATTCTGTCATTCTGGAGTTTACATAAAATTAAAAATATTGAGTGAGTTGAAAGTACTTGTGCACTGATCATCATAAAACTATCTAGGCTGAAAATGATTTATGTCCAAGCATGCATTCATTGTGTAGTATTTAGATTTAATGATATATACCTGTGTAGGTTGAGGGGTAGAACAGCAGCATGCATTGCATCCATAAATGGAAGATGCCATGGCAACAAAGAACTCTGCAATGGCTAAAATGAGCAGCAATGACCCCAGGGCAGCACCAGCTTCAGCATGTGACTTATCCAAGCCGTAATAATAATAATAATTATAATGGCAGTTGATATATATTCTGCTACAGCGGATAATCTCTGAAAACTGGGCCACAGCAATGGCGTGTATAATCAGCATAATGGCAGCAAGGACGCATCCAGTAATGGCAAATCCCATCATAACACCAATCTGTACAATAGCAAAGAYATAAATCAGTTACCGGTAGATTACACTGTGGCCATACATGTATGAAGTCCAAGTGCTTGCTTAGATAAAAATAACATTTGATGAACTATATGATGACTTAAGCAATATATGTTTTGAATCCATGGGAACACATGTTGTAAAATTAAGTTGATTATGGGGGCTCAAGGGTAAACGTATATTGGTGTTTCTGCTTGCAGTCTTCAGAGAATTAACATCATGTCCTCACCAGGCAATTGTTTGGAGTAGTATCTGATTTTGCTCCAATGTAACCAAATAGTCCAGTCAAAAACACCTAAAAATAAATTGTTGACTGTTAAAGTTTAAAGTCAGACATTCGAATGAGTATTGATCAATATATAAAATGCTCTCTAAAACTGTGGTGTACAAGTAATTATCTCGATGTTTCTTCTCCAACTTGAAGCTATTGGCCATTTTTTTTATCTAGATGCATGCTTTTGAATAACTTTACTCATAYGCAGTATTGAGGCAATTTACATATTATAGTTTATAATATGCACRACTTTTGAAATGCCCTGTGGATCTTCAGGAATTCAAACTATTTATCTTAGTCATCTTTTGATGCAGAATGAATTACAGTTCCATCAGGAAGAATAACATTCCTCTGTGTACCTCAAACTTACTTAAAACAAACAAACAAACTTAAATAAAGTCATAAAGTTGAAACGGATCATCTTACAGAGTACATGCAGTGAGTTTTTTTTACAAAAGGAAAATATAAATATAAAAGCACCTGTTTTTGAGTTGTCAATACTAGAAGTTGCTTTACTTAATCATACATAAACACAGTGAGTTGCACATACAATCTTGGATTAAATACTTCACAATTTTCCCATTTGGTCTTAGAAAAGCTGTATCCATGTATGTGATGAAAATATTTCCCCTCCCTCCAGCATCAATGTTGCAAGCATGRGTTAATGAATGGTGAGGTAATGAAAAGATCAGTCACATAAAGCTGCATTGGGCGGAGATTAAGCAAGAGGAATAAATATAGTGAGAGGACCATATTGTTTGGGATGTGTGTTTGGGGAGGGTTGAATTTTTTCAAATGAACTTTAGGGGAGGGTCACAAATTTCGGACTGGAGTAAATAAATAAGAATAAGGCTTCTTGTGTTTATCTTTAAAACTCTTATCAAAAAGCTTTAGTGGAGATTTAATTTCAAAATTTTGCCTTGCAGGAATTTTTTTTTTTTGGCCCTTTGGGCTGTGCAGGAAATTTAAGAGAGCACGAGTACTGTACACTGTTTTGTACAAGGATATCCGTCAGAACAGCTACAACATGCTGGGAAAAGGATAACTTATTAGTAATAATTAGTAAAATGGGAGCATTCTGAAGATTGTCACATTCTGAAGACTCCAYAGAAAAAGGTTAAAATTGATTCAGTATTAGCATAYGATATTACACCAAACAAAGGATCACTATAGCACTTATCATAAATGATTGTTTTGCACAAATGAAAAAAAAAAGAAAGGAGTATTCCAGCAGTACTTATAAACACCATTCACTTCCAGGGCTTTTCAAGGAGTACAACGAACCCTGAATAAAATGTGCCAATTGTTTACTCATAACCAATAACTCCCTAATTCCTCTATGTGCTCTCCAGTAGACAAAGTTCGTATTTTAGGTTAGATGYCCGTCAATATCTCCGTTTGAAAACAATCTTTCAAGAGTTTGTCGGGATGTGTGAATAAAAATGCCSATCGAAATGCCACAAGTACAKTTTTACATCAAAACAAGCAGATGTTTTAATCAGTTAAAACTGATTTACAAGTCAAAGAATTGGATAAATACAAGTTTGCCAAGGATTTGGTTAAAAACAGCAGTTCAACAGGATCGAAGAGATTTATACGGAAAGATATCGTGGAGCAATGAACACTTTGCTAGCATCTTGAATAAACATACAACTTGAAATTTGCCCTTTTCCGCGAATTTCTCTTTGTCCATACCATAAAAAGTCGATGGTAGTAAACACTACTTCTTTTAATCTGCCGTTCTTGTCGTTGATAAGCTTAAGTAGAGGTGGAACAACAACAACTAAGTGTCTCTGCTTATCATGGTTTACCCTGTCCAATAACGAAGGGAATACTTGATTTTCGTTTGAAGCAGTTCAGATTATCAAACAATTATTATATAGATGATTTCTAACGTGCTCTCTGATTGGCCAATAAAGTGTGGTTTATGAGAGTATAAACCACGATTGTCCGCTAGAGATTTTTGAAAAAGGCAACAANTTTTTTTACAAAAGGAAAATATAAATATAAAAGCACCTGTTTTTGAGTTGTCAATACTAGAAGTTGCTTTACTTAATCATACATAAACACAGTGAGTTGCACATACAATCTTGGATTAAATACTTCACAATTTTCCCATTTGGTCTTAGAAAAGCTGTATCCATGTATGTGATGAAAATATTTCCCCTCCCTCCAGCATCAATGTTGCAAGCATGAGTTAATGAATGGTGAGGTAATGAAAAGATCAGTCACATAAAGCTGCATTGGGCGGAGATTAAGCAAGAGGAATAAATATAGTGTGAGAAATGTCATGCACCCATTACAATTGTCAATATTTGAAGGTTTGGCTGCAAAAACTGTAAAAAAGTATATTTTGAAATTAGATAAATTTGAAAAAAATCACTTCAATCGCTTATTTCCAGTATAAAATAATCTTGTTTAGTAATTATTCCTCTTGGTTTCTTTCTAAAAAGAAGAAAAAACAACCCATAGTTGCAGCCTGCTTTGGGCTTGACAACATGCTGGGAAAAGGATAACTTATTAGTAATAATTAGTAAAATGGGAGCATTCTGAAGATCGTCACATTCTGAAGACTCCATAGAAAAAGGTTAAAATTGATTCAGTATTAGCATATGATATTACACCAAACAAAGGATCACTATAGCACTTATCATAAATGATTGTTTTGCACAAATGAAAAAAAAAGAAAGGAGTATTCCAGCAGTACTTATAAACACCATTCACTTCCAGGGCTTTTCAAGGAGTACAACGAACCCTGAATAAAATGTGCCAATTGTTTACTCATAACCAATAACTCCCTAATTCCTCTATGTGCTCTCCAGTAGACAAAGTTCGTATTTTAGGTTAGATGYCCGTCAATATCTCCGTTTGAAAACAATCTTTCAAGAGTTTGTCGGGATGTGTGAATAAAAATGCCSATCGAAATGCCACAAGTACAKTTTTACATCAAAACAAGCAGATGTTTTAATCAGTTAAAACTGATTTACAAGTCAAAGAATTGGATAAATACAAGTTTGCCAAGGATTTGGTTAAAAACAGCAGTTCAACAGGATCGAAGAGATTTATACGGAAAGATATCGTGGAGCAATGAACACTTTGCTAGCGTCTTGAATAATACAACTTGAAATTTGCCCTTTTCCGCGAATTTCTCTTTGTCCATACCATAAAAAGTCGATGGTAGTAAACACTASTTCTTTTAATCTGCCGTTCTTGTCGTTGATAAGCTTAAGTAGAGGTGAAACAACAACAACTACAGTAAGTGTCTCTGCTTATCGTGGTTTACCCTGTCCAATAACGAAGGTAATACTTGATTTTCGTTTGAAGCAGTTCAGATTATCAAAATGGATTTTTACTTAAAGGGACATGGTCCACCAGTATCCCTTTCGAGCTTTTGTTTATGTTTGAAAATAGAAAAATCTATCGCAAATAGCAGTCGTTTGGTGAAAATTGAAGTTGTTTTAGTACATCTGAGAACATTTCGATGTCTACCATGGCGTTGCGTTACCTCCCGAAATCGGGGAGGGGATTTGTGATTGGATAATAGCTGGAATGCAATTCTACGCTTGAGTAAGCAGCCTCTTCTTTTGGGAGGGACAGGAAGGCTGACAACAGGGGAGGCTGCAAACGAGAGTAGTTTTGCGATAAAGCAGGACAATAATATATTCAGCGAGTTGGTTACTAGTAATTTTAAAATGGTCTGAACGACAAAAGCACACTTAACAGTGTCTAGGACCAGAAGTAGTCTAGGACTCTTCAAAGTTTCTGAATGGGAAGATACCAGAAGACCAATTTGGTAACCAGAAATGAACACTAACAGCAACGGTAAATTTGTTCCCTGCACGCCAGGGGCCTTGGCACGAGTACTTTTGTGTTYAGGTGAAATTGTTGCCATGCCAATTCTAAAATACAATGTACGTACAAACAGTCCCTCACCTGGATTATGCTAATATCAATCTTCGAAAAATCTCAGAAATGATCAAAGGATAAGTTTAACTTAAGCTTGCAAGTTCCAAACTGGATGGAGAGTACACTATTATATTGACGTTGTTGAAGACGGTCGGAGACTAGAAAAAACTGGCTGAAAGCTCAACTTACTTTGTCTGTAATAAAGACCGTCGAAGGCAGTGGTTATTTAAAAAACAGTACGAACAATTCAGTATTAGTAGATATGTCACCATAGCAATCACTTGGTATAGCTCATTTTAAGAGAATCATCWCGTCAATCGCCGTTCGTTCCCTCGA